CAAACTGCGAAGGCACCGATGGTCGAACGTAACTAGTTTATTTATGTCCGCTGATCTAAGGGGCCAGGTTTCGCAACCGTACAGTAAGGTCGAACGTACTGCTGCATTATACACTACCCTTCAGGGTGAGAGTAATGTCGCGCCGCCGCCATAGGTGGCGAAGACTAGCAAAAGCATCTCGAGCTTTTGCTATACGGTTCGTGATTTCACCTTCAATCCCACGGGCGCTTATACAACTTCCCGAATGACTTCTAGCTGATCCCCACCAAGGGTTAGCGCAGGAGGCGATCTCTGCGAATCTTGGAGGAAAGCTTTGCACTTTGATGGTGCAAAGCAAAGCCCGAAGTGACGGACAACCAGTGCTAATCTGTCCGGTGCCACTTGGCACGTTTGTGAGCTGTCACAAATGAGGGCAATGTCATCAGCACACTCCAAGTCAAGAAGTCGTTCTCCTGGGAATAGCTCCACACCTTCTAAGTCGTGTCCTGCGAAGGCGATTTCAATGACTTCCTCAATAGCGAAGTTGAAGAGGAAAGGTGACAGCGGACATTCTTGTCTCACCGCTGGAGATATTAAAGGGCGACGACAACTTGCCGTAAGCTCTAACTCTGCCCGAGCTATGCGCATATAATGCTCGGATAATATTTACATATTTTTGGGCACACACTTCCTGGATAGACAGTCCCAGAGTGCACGTCTATCCACCGAATCGAATGCACCTTTGATATCGAGAAACACGACAATGGTGAGTCGCCAATATGTGTGACGGTGCTCCGACCACTGACGCAAGGTGAAGATGTGGTCAATGCAGCCACGACCTCGACGAAACCCGGCTTGCTCTTCACGAATATGGCTTTCACGAGTGCCAATCAGTCTGTGAAGGATGACAGAGGCGAGCAATTTGGAGGCGATGGAGATCAGACTGATTTTTCTATGGTTGCCGCATTCCGAACGCGAGCCTTCTTTGAAGATGGGAACAATAAAGGAGCGGCTCCAATCGGTTGGGGCAGTTTTCTGCTCCCACAGTTTCATTAGTAATTCATGTAAAGCATCAACAAGGGTAGAGTCTCCGAATTGGTAGATGGCTGGCGGAAGATCATTTGGTCCCGCGGCTTTTGTTCAACTTCAACAGTCCGATCTCACGTTTGACTTCTGAGCGAGAGGGCGGATCCAAAGGGAGCCCACGGAGCACGGCGATCACAAGCCTGTAAAGAATCAAACAATTCCGGCAGATTACATTGCTTTTCAAAATGCTCAGCCCAACGCTCCAAATGTTTTGACAAATTGTGGATAGGCTGTCTACTCTCATCACAAATTGTTTCAATAACACCAGGTCTCCTGCTGTCCGTTTCCCGTATCAGCCGGAATAACTTACGATGGTTACCAAGGGCAGCGGCCACTTCCATCTCTGACGCACGAAGAGACCACAGGATTCGCGGTCTCTCTTCAGGCTAGCACGGAGTTTTGCCCGGAGATCTTTGCGAGTTTCATTGTGTTCGTTTCTAGCCGGAATATGCCGGCGAGCATCGATAAGTTCCAGAGACTGCGAAGAGACCCAATGTCCATGTTAGTGATTAGACTTACCACATGAGGATTTTCCTGCTGCTAGTAAGGGCTGGTGAATATGAGGCCAGTGAGCTTCAATTGTCTCCAGTGAGCGCTTACTCAACTCGCATGACAGCGTACTTTGATAGGCATTCAGAACAGCTGGTTTCACCAGTTGGCTGGTGTCAATGCGCTCACAACGTCGTCTTGGGCGTCCGCGGAAACGCACCCGCAGGTCAGCACATGCAAGTGCATGGTCAGTGTCCACACCTGTGCTCCAAATCAAGCGACAGTTCTGGACACAGCCACTTCTTCGGTGATTTATCGCAATGTGATCTATTTGCGTCCAAGGCTGGTGGGCGCCAAGTCACCCTCCGGCGGCTACTGTGTCGGAAATTAGTGCTCGCAAGAAATAAGCGAGCATCTTCCCATGAATGAAGTAACCGCTCACCGTTATCATTACGGGAGCCTACACCGTGCTGACTGCCCAGATGCATTTCATCAGTGGACAACTTTCCAACTTGTGCCTTCAGATCCCCAGCCATCACAACAGTGTTGGTGCTTCTTCTGTGACGAAGGAGCTGGGTCAGTTGGCGGTAGAAGTCGTTCTTTACCGAATCACCGCTACGGTTAGTGGGCACGTAGGCAGCGATGATGAATAGACACCTATTAAGTTTAAGTTGTGGATTGTGGCAGAAATTGATCCCCATGCAGTAAAATCGGCGAGACGACGCTCGCACTCAATCTGACCAAGCAGTTTCAGTTCCGCACCTGATGCGCTTTTCGCTTGTTGTGTGGTTGGTTTGATGTCGGGCGACCGGACACTTCTCCACAGCGTCTCCGAAGTTACTGTGATGTCAGAGGCTTTGTCGATTTGCAGACACGCGTGTCTCCCGTTGATATCAATAGTGATGTATTTTCTCCTATCCTTAAGATGATTTCTAAAGCTGGGATTTACTCTTTTTGGGAAAACGATAAGTTTTCTTTCGAGCATTATGAACTGGTCTGGGCGAAAGTCTGTATCAGCAGTGCGTTTCCTTGTGTCCACACTTGTGACATTTCTGACAGACATGCTTATTGTATGGGCACAATTTTACAAAATGTCACCCACCGCACTGCCAACAAGCGGAAGGGAGTGCGCCTTGATGAAAGGCCTTGTGATCAGCTGCCACCGTCTGGGTTCTCGAAATTCTTTGTACTGCCGTAACGGAAGAGAATGCGTTCGGATTCTCAACCAAGGCTGTAGCGTGTATCAAAATGATAAATCGTTGCGCTTCTGAAATTATGGCTTGCAGCGTTATTTGCGGGTCACGTTCCAGCATTCCAAGTACTTTGGTTTGGATTTCTGCATCATTAAGAGAATGGTTGCAGGCCAGTATCAAGCACTCAGACTGATCTTCAATAAGCAGTTTTAATTTGAACTTCACTGTTTCACTGTGGCCGCGTGAGCAATGAGACTGTTGCCATCTCGTTTACACAGCTTCAAGCAATTATATCAGTTTTTAAAAAGTGATGACTGATCGCCGAATATTTCGCTAAGGTGCGTAATTGTATTGTCAAAGTTAAGATCCTTTGGACTCTTGGGTAAAATATAATTGACGTACCTATCGTGTTCAACAGACCCGAGCTTCCGTAGCAATATGTGGACCTTTGACGCATCAACAAGTTTGGAGAGGACCGTTTTGAATATGTATTGGTAGCGGGGTGATGAGGTGTCAAATGTCAGCCCAGAATCAGGGTCAAAACTGAACTCATTGATGCAGTTGATTAGTATATCAACCGAAGGTTTGGAAACATTGTTACATGCTGCTGGCTGGCCGGAGAGATAAAGTACGAGTGAGTGTCTAGATAAGGCTTAACTGACAGGCTTCAAACTGCTGCTATTGCTGGAACAAAATGCTTTTCATGTAGTCAAGTGGGAGTGCCATGTTGATTACGGGTACCTCCGTTGCCAGAATCTGTTGCGACTACCGAGAAGGACTGAGCACCCGCTTGATTCCGCCTTGAGAACACAGGAAGCGAAGGCCACAGCGCAACGTGTATTGATACAAAGACCGGGCGAAAACAAGAGGAAACACACCAGAACCAGTCAGTTACAGTCGAATGCACATTTGGTTAAATAGGACCCCGGAGGCACAAGTAGTGTGGGGTTTGTGTGTAACAGGCGACAGGAACAAATGTACCATAATACAAAAACACAGTGTTCGGATGGGGGCACGAATTGTTCCGACACAAAACATGGTTTTGTCTTGTAAGATAACACGCTTGCTTTCTGAACAACTACATGTTCCGTTTTGGTGCGCAGTAAAAAAAATCCAAGCAACTCTCCTGGCACCAGTCAAGTTACAACTGGACATTTCGCCACTCTGGGTTCTCTTATGATACTACACCGTTCAACCCCCTTTATACAGTTGTGAAACCTGGCCCATCAGTTCGACAGACATGAAGAGGCTAGTGACGTTCGACTATCGCTGCCTTCGCAGCTTAGCTCATATCCGGTGGAAGTACCGCGTGAGCAATCAAGTTATTCGGCGTCGCGTACTTAGTGCAGGAAGAGCGAGTGAACCGCTTAGCACCATTATATCACGCACCAGGCTCCGATGGCTGGGCTGGCTGGCTCGCCGAACAATCTCATTGTGGTGCCAGCTGAGCGGTTCAGGAATTTCCCGTTCCGGCGAATGGTTCAGCGTCAGTGTTCCAGGACGTTATGGGTTTTCGCTTAGTAAGCGTTCTCCCTATAGAAGCCACAAACGTCCGTTTAACAACACTGCGACGTGGCGGATGTGACTCGCTACTAAATAAAGTCACTGCCCCTTGTCTCGGCAGGCAATCCGAGCATCGGATCTTGTCTCTGACTTCGGGAGCGTTGGCCCCTGGCATGGCTTATCGTCATCCGAAAGGTGTATGAACTGAGTGTCCAGTCAGCGGCTCCCAACTGGTGCTAATCCTTGATTTCGCCCTGTTACCTTGGGGCTTATGCCTGGCTAGGGCAGGTGCTGCGTATGCCAGCACACCGGCTCCCGCGACATGCCTTGTTTGCTCGCCGAGGTTGCGGGAGGAAAAGTAGGAATGGAGGCCAAGTGATAACTTGCACGAGATAAATGAAAACCCTCACTTCAAAGTTGGCGTTGGTTGATGCATCCCGACTGCGTGGATGGTGTCCCAAAGACCATGAACACACTTGCTGATATGGCAAAGAGCCGACCCCATTGGCGTTTGTGTTGTGTTTCTTTGTCCACCTCCTCCCCTTTAGATTCCCCCTCCAATTATGATTTTATGCGAATTGCATAATAGAATATTTAACATTATATTACCTGCTTTTTGTCTTCTTCGTAGTGTAAATTTTTAGTATCTTATCTTTTTGTATTGCGCCGCATTACCTGTGGTGTGTTTCTCACCTTCAACTAACGTGGTTTCTTTAACACCTTTTCTCTCTTCAATGGGCTTGCATTATGATGCAATATAATTTTAATCCCACCCAGTGACTTATTACCTGCGTCGCACGTGAATAAATGCGTTTTAATTGAACTCTAAGTCTATTATCATTAGCTGTCCACTAGGTGTTTTTCTGCTAAAAGCAATCTTTATTTAACTTTGTTTTTCATTCTAGGCCGCTGACCGAGTGGTCTGCACGCCTGACTTGCAATCATAAAGTCACCGGTTCGAATCCGCGTATCGGCGGGCGTCCTCGCGGTATAATCAGCCCACACGTGACTATTGGTGGTCGCGCGGCAGCGAAGCGCCGTTGAGGTGTACAGCTGACGATTCTAGACATCTTTACGACATTCACTTTATTGCCTGTTCGTTTGGAATCTTATGACTTCAACACGTATCTCTTTTGTTGTGCCGCAGCTCTCATCTTGTGAATGACAGAAACACTGATTCCGACCGCATTTTGTCTCCTGCTTTGTGCATTTTTCACGGAGCAAAGTCAACTCACGGACAGTATTTATCACTACGTTCCTGACCACCTCGTTTCTTACTGCTCCCGTAGACTGAATGTCACGCATCAGGTGGGATGTTCCAGTCGTTCTGGGGGCAATGCGGGCGTGGTTTTGTTTGTCACCGACGCATCCTCCTTACTTGCCTTCCTTACTATGGATAACGCTCCGGAGACAGCACTAGTTATGGAGTACGAACTGTTCACCAATGCCACTCTAATGGCTGAAATCCGCTCTCACCCGTCGTTAGTCGCAGGGATAGTTGTATTTTCTCCAGCTGTCCGTGAGAACCATACTATTCTTCCTTTTTCCGAATCGTCAACTTGCCCAAATTCTCTCTACGGCTACTATGGACCTGGAAAGCAATGTAATGTAACTCCTCCCTGGAATGTTTATGGCGTCGAATATTCTGCTTTCCACTGGCCGTTTCCAGTCGTACTTGTTCATGATCCTCATGGGGAGATTAAGGTGAGTAGAGTATCTCAGTTACTGAGAACGGACGTTCCGTTTCTAGACAGAAATCGCATCTTGCTTTCGAAAATTCAACATGAATCCCAAAGACGATACGAGGTGTTCAATCGAAATCAGCAACTACATGTCTGCGGTTCAATCCGTTGTAACTTGCACTCGGCGACAAAAGTTGATGGCTTCGTTGATTTCCGAAGTGGGTCTGATGATTGCAAATCATACTTTGTGATGTGCATCATATCATCATTTTATCTTGCCATTACACGGAAGTGGTGATCGTGAAAAACCTGTTCGTTTTGCGCTTATGCGTTTGACTCCGGGAGTGTATTGCCTCCTGCTTATATGCTGCACATATGCTGGTGTAATCATGTTTAACGGTCGTTCCTTTAAAATAGCAGTGATCAAACGCGGTATGCTCATCTGCCTACTCGCTGTTGTTGACAATAGCAATTTTCTGATCGCTGTCCTCCAGAGTCCTTCGCTTTTTTTCCAGTTATTATCGACATTGTGTTTTCATGTGTCACAATTGAAAATACCATAATCGTCGTTTTTATCAACAGAAGCATGTCAGTACTTCATGACACGATTAAATGCCCCCGCTTATCATCAGTAACAAGATGGTGTAAAACCTAATTATCCAAAGCAAACATTCAAGACACCTTTAACTTTCCCGCATTATCCAGTTATAAATACATGGCGAGGTAAAGTCGGTACTGGCAAGACAATTCCCCTGCAGATTTTATCGAGCCGCGTTATGTTCGAGCTTATTGCATAGGTAACTCAACATCATAGAGATTGTAAACAGGTAACCTAGCTAGGAGAGAACGGCAAACAGCCCACTGTTATCGGTTGCTAACCGTGTCCTGTGGAGCATCGCACCAAGCGGGCCGCTGGGCCCCAGTCTCGAACGCGAGACGGTGGAACAGTAGCCAGTTTGGTCGCCACTAACTTTACTGCCAACATCAAACGGTTGTGACGAGGTGGTGTAATAGAACCGGATGTCATCACTATTTGTTATGATTACGCGTCTTATGCGTAAGCTACTTTCCTTTTTGCGCTTGTTGCGTGTGTGTATCATGCACGAATCGTAAGACTTTGAGGGATTTGGATTCAGACTGCTCTTTTACATGATGCTCTTCGACTTGCTGTTAGTTGCCGTTTACATTGGCTCACGCAACTGCTATTTGTTTGCGCCTCAATCCTGACTAAGCCACCGCTCAATGCCTAATTTTCAAGCAATCCCCGTTAGAGCTGGATCATTCTGAAAGATCCTTGTGGGTTGAACACCATACCACATATGTTTGACTACCTCTTCGTTCTCTTCATTTTGATAGTGGGGCAAAACGGTAAACCACCGCTGCACCGTACAATCGCACATCACTTGTATCGGGTAGTCCCCGTCTTGGAAAGCTCTAGGTATCGATAACCAACTCAGCAATCGTTTGCTAAGCAAAGTGCAGACGCAAACTGACCTCCACGTAGGTGGCGGGACTCTTTTTGTCACGCTCTGATTTTTCTGGCTTCTCACTTTACTCAGGCCATCTTTATTCACTATATTATTGATACCTCCTCAGTCGTAAGTATTTTTAACCACCATTCAGCCTTTTTCGCGTGACTTATACCGCCTGTGATCGCCACTTGATTTTTGCGCGTCCTTTACCTCACGAAATAAGGCAAGCAGCGAGACAGCTAGGATATCATAGATACTTGATTGTTCTGTTAGGTAGGCGGATGCTAATCACGATGGCATAATACATTTGCTAACGACTGCAACTGTTGCACGCTAAACAAATATGATGTTTTATCAACTGTCATAAAAATGCGAAGAATGGTATACTCCTCGGATGGTAAGCTGTTGCATATAAACGGCAGGTCTAATCCGACATCCATATTTTTGGAACGATCTGGGCGTTTTGATTTCGCAGACTTCCGCTTCAGTTGTCACCCCAACTGACGACCGTGTGCGCTGTCCGATGTTGCTTCCCATTATGATGCATTCGGCCCAGAAGTTACTCTCGCAATTCCACGATTACCATTCACTAACGCTCGACCTTGATCAACAAACTTAGGGGTCACAGGTTACATTGACAGATAGGTATACGAAAGGTTAATAAAACCCTGTGACAACGAAATGTCCTTAATATAAACCATTCTGTTTATTCACATCTAACTGTTAACTTCGTCTGTCCTCTTGACACAACGATAAATGTCTATTCGGTTAGCAGCGACTCTTCTGAATTGTTGTCACTTCCCTCTGTGTTAATTTAGTTAATAGCGCACATCTGGGATGCATTCGCCAGATTCTTTATCATTGTTTCGCGTTCTGAAGTGCGGACCAGCCCTGGATCAACCATTCTTTCCATTCACCGGTCTCTAGATCTGATTCATTCCCGACTGCGATATGGAAGCAAATGTTAGTAGCTCAGGTTGTTCAGTTGGTGGACTGAGTGTTCGCTGAACTCGGCAGGTTGACTGCAAACGTTTCGTCCCCACTCGAGATGACATCATCAGTGCGCGTGTACTTAGCAGAGTGGCGCCTACGAAATGTCTGTGAGTCTGAGTGATCAATCTCCTAGCCGCTAGCCTGACTAGGAGAGTCTGGCTAGGAGATCGATCACTCAGACTCACGGACACTTCGTACGCGCCACTCTGCTAAGTACACGCGCACTGATGATGTCACCTCGAGTGGTGACGAAACGTTTGCAGTCAACCTGCCGAGCTCAGCGAACACTCATTCCCGACTACACTCACATGAGTGTTTTGATGGAAATGCAGGAACTGCAACCTAAACCACAAATGACCCTCACATATGCGCAACTGCCTTATGGTTATTTGTTCTCTCCGACAACTGCTTGCGTTTCCCCAGGTAAACTTTTCTCTGCTGACAACGCTGTTTCTGCTCGAACAGTCATGTTGGCGGGTTCTTCGATTCTGGCAATAAGATTAACCAAGATGTCGACACCTGGAGGATTATCAGACTAGGTCACAAATGTGGGCTAATTGTATCGTCCCTGTCTATTTTCGTTCTGCTGTTTGTCAACAAAACTTGCTTTGTATAGTTCAATTCACTTTCTCAAACACATACACACAAACACATGTAATCATTATTCATATCCGGTTGTCAAATAGGGCTATGCCCCACCAAATGCCTCACCAAATTCATCATACCCCTTCGTTAATCTTATGTTCATACGCTTTCACAATCACAATATTTCACTTGCCTCTATGAATCGCTGTTGTATTGAATAGCATTTCATACTGGATATGTCAATGACTAAAAGTCGATTCAACTCCGTCACAACGTTGAAGGTAAATGTTGAATTCTCATAAGAGGTACCAAGCCATGAGCGTTACCTGACTAATTTCAGGCGGCAATACCATAAGTTTCACCTAAAGTGCTACAGATCTTCCCGAGCCACACAGCCAAGTCCGCGGGAGGTTGCCTACCATTATTCGGAGCAGTAACCGTATAATCCATTGCGATGATAAAACGTGCACTATTTGCTTGCGCTGTGTGTGGCCGAGTCCGCCGGTGGCCAGTTGTTGCAAAGCCTTGTAGTCCAGAGGTCAATGGTTGGAATCTGTGTAAGATTGGATGACCTCATGGTATCCCCAGCACTTGTGCAACCAATAGCGGTTGTTTGGCAGCGAAGTGCCGGCGTACTGTTGATATCCATTACCGACAAACAGATCTCTACTGAATTCTAGTATTGATCTCAATCCGATTTGCTTCGGGAACAGGTTGACTTTGTGAGTGAGACCTCGCCTTTATGTATTCTGATTTCTTGTTGATTAGGCTGTTAAGTCAATGCTGGCGGTGCAAACTTTCGATTTCCATTCAAGAATATATGATCAAAAATATCATCTCACGTGACTGCCGACCCCGTTTTCAACCTTGTTTTCCCTCCGTTTCTCATATATTTCCAGGCTAGAAAACAAAACATCACCAACTTTTCAAACAGGTTGATTTCGAAACGAGGTTTTATTTCAATTGAAACTTGTTTCGCATCATACCGAACCTTCACATCCCGTAGTGTCCGGTCCATGGTAGTACAAAAATACATAAAGATATTGAGGGAAGCGTTTAGTCGGGCCGCTCTATTCTCTTCGTTGTTCCTACACGACAAGACTAGATCTTAACGTGATGTGGTGGATTGGGTGTTTTAACCGTCTACTGAGTTATGCCAGGTGATGCTTGTCGCACCTTCAGAGCCACTAATAGCAGATTGGCTAATGGTTACAGACCAGAAACACTCAGTCTCGGCCCTCCAGGTTGGACTGAGAGTGGCTCCTTATTCCATAAAGAGGAATCTGTAACCCAGTGCCAAAACCCCGCTGCCTTGCGGTCAGGATTTTGAATCAAAGGCTTTGATTGAGAGCCTTGATCGTCCCCTGTTTAAGCTTAGGCAGCCTGACAGTACCTTGCCCACAGTACAATAAATACCTCGCATAAATTCTTGGTGTTCTCGTCATCGCAAAAGATAATCAACCGCGCCCTATCTGCTGCGTCTAGCAGGGTTTTTTCATCCCCACCGTGCCCTTCCAACTTCACTTTTACCCTCCCCCCCAACGTATGTCCATCCTCCATCTTGTTTTGATAGCCTTTTATCTTCTAGTTTCAACTCGCACGCAATTGCACGACCTCGCTCCTGTCCAGTAGGCAAGTCCGTGTTCAATCAACGGACAATGTTAGTTCATCCATTCCTATTTGGAGCCTTCGATCCTCCCTAAGACTGACATGATTCAACGTGCGTACCTCTCTACAGATTGACAAACAGGCAGCGTTTGCCCGAACACTAGTGACCCTATTGGACGATATCTGGATTATCGGAAACCCACCTGCTAGACTCGAGCTCTATGCTTACTCTGCAACCCTCCACGTGCAGTAATTTCTTACTGCTTTTGTTCGGAGACGACGCAGCTTCAAATGCCGGTCAAGTCGATATGGGCACTACTCTGAGTTCCAAGGTTAAAGTTACCTTGGTTAACTGAATCCAAATGAACAACCGGATATGCGCCGTCAGATTGGCTAGCTCGTTCAAAACTTCGAAATCGCGCGCAAACTGCGCCGGCTTGTCATTACTGTCTCGGCACTGATTTGGTGAGAGATGACTTCTATCACCAACTGAACGAGCTCATTTGTCACATAAAATGTACGACTACCGTAATGCTGGCTGTTGATCAGGACGTCCAAGT